TCTTGGACAGTCATCAGGGAGTCAGACTAAGCTCTTTAAATGTATGGAAGGGTCGCTCAACACCACAATCTTTGTAGCACAAATGAGGGGTCCAACAACTGTAAGTACAATGCAAACTGGGTGTATATATAGAAAAAAAAGAGAAATCAGAACAAAAAACAAGTAAAATAGCCGATGGATGGTGGCGATGGAAACAGGAAGAATGTTGAGAACTCGGCTAAGAAACAATAAGGCAAAAAAAATGTCCACAAGGTAACAATAAAATCAATAATTGAGGCCCATAAGGTCAATATTAACCATCAATCTCGCTTCTCCACCAAATATCCGTCATCCTAACTCCCGTCCCGTCCTCCCATCCTCTTCTCCTGATCCGTCGCTGTCCTTCAAGCTCAAAACCGTGTGAATTGGTGGAAAATTGGTGGAGATATGGGGGAAATGGTGGATATCCGTGAATTTTGGGGAAGTGGCAATATGGGTCTTGAGAAAAAAAGCATGGAAAAAATCGGAAAAAATGTGGAAATGTCCCATGGGCATTGTGAATGTGTCGGAGGCTTGAGGGTGCTCGTTGGAGCCTCGAAAAACATGGTTCTGGCCTTGTTTGTGTGGTACTTGCTGTGCCCTCCTACGGTGCCCCTGAAACCTCTGACTTTTGACCCTCACTTGACAACTCCAGAATGGAATCGGAGACTTAGCATGGAAGGACCTTGGCCTCAGCGACTCAGGCGGAGCGCTGTGCCATTGCTGGTTGTCCTAGGGGTCCCTAATTTCGGATCTAGCAGAGGGAAAGTCTCTTGGGGGAATTCATGTCGATTTCGGACTGAGGTTGCAAGTTACTATGTACATTGTATATAAGGAGGGGTCCGGAATCAAAAGGAGCAAGGGTACTCCGAAAGGAGACAAAGGGAGCTGGAAAGAGGAACAACACCAAGGGTCAAGGGTTTGACTCAATGGTGTTTCCCAAAGGAGGAGTGAAGGGCCAAGGCCCAAGGAGGAAGGAAGGAGGTTGGGAGTGGGGAATGGCTAGCTGACTGAATAGAAAGGAAGCAGTAGCCCAAATAGGAATGAGGGAGAATAGCGGAATTGAGTAGGACAATGCAATAGTTGCAAGGTCCGAGGTAAGTCCGGAAAGTCCGAACTCGGAAGTTAAACTCCGGAATATTGGCAAACATAATTAAATGGAATGAGCTAACCAATACAATGGGTATAAGCGGAGGTGGGGTCAAAGTCCGAGGTCGGAGCTAAGACCGGAGGTTCCGGAGACGGAGATGCGAATGGGATTCCGGAGCGGAGGTCCGGAGTCAGGAGCTTAGGTTTTGCGTACTCATCTGGAAGGTGTCGAGGTTGGGGTCGGACCCGGAATGTTCCGGAGTCGGACCAAAGGTGGTGTCCGAGCCAGAGGTGGGATAACCTCTTGGGAGTCGGCAAGGGGAAGGTGACGGAAGGGAAGTAGGGCTCCGGAAGTCGGAGTTCGGAGTTCCGGGAGCCCGGAGCGGAGGTCGGGATTGTATGGATATGACAGAACCACTCCACTCATTTACGCTACCTCACCCCTGCATCTCATTTCACACTACTGTTAGAACTGGGCGAGGGTGGACAATTCCAGAGGGGAACCGGAGACTTAGCAAGGAGGGACCTTGACCTCAGTGACTCATGCGGAGCGCTGTGCCATTGCTGTTTGTCCATTTGGTCCTTAATTTCACAGTAGGCGAGCAGGAAGTCTCTAGGGGGCATTTCAGGTCAATTTTAGACTAAGCCTAAAACGAGTATGTACAAGCGCCGATATATATAATGGAGGGGGCGAAAGCACAAGGAAACAAAGGAGATCCGAATCGGAACGAAGGCATCTGAACGGGAACAAAGGGATGACAGAAGTGGAGTGGTACCAAAGGTCATAAGGCAGAACCTGTGATACGTCTGAAAGGAGGTAAGGAGGGTGAGGCCCAGAGGGGCAGGAGGATGAGGAGAAGTGGGGATGATGACTAACTGGCTAGAATGGGAAGAAGCAGCAGTCCAAATAGGGATGAGGGGAAAATGTGAGAAATACATTACAAGCGGTGAAAGTGCCAAAGGTGATCCGTGGAGCTCGGAGCTTATGGAGGTTACGGAGGTAGGGTTGAAAGTCCGAGGAATATTGGCAATGGTGTTTATGTAGTATGAGGTCACCAATGCAATGGACTAAGACCGATGTTACGGGGATGGGGGAAATTCCCCATTCCTCGATCCGTTCTTATAGTGGGATGACGAGGGTCATGTCTAGTCTGTACCATAACGGGATATGTAATCGATGAGTGATCCCAGTCTTGCCTGGGAGCGGACGATCGAATTCCCATCGATCGCGATTGGTGATGTAGTGAGCTATTAAGGGATTGATGATAGGTAGTCAGAGATACCAGGACAGACGGGTCAGCCATGGGTACTTGGCGCTCCTCAGTGGAGTGTACCGTGTGCAAGGTCACGACTTGTGAGATGGGTGAGAACTTCGTATAGTTGCCATCAGGTACTTGGCATTTGCAGTGCAAACGTACCGGTAGTGGGTTGATATCATAGGCGTGCAATGAGGACTGACTATTAGGGCCTTCGGTGACTTGGCGTTGTAAGCGGGCTAGGGATCTAACCCACTAGGAAAACAGGAAAGGACGGGGACCAGATTGGTATCCAACAGGTCAGGGAAAAGGGGTAATGGTGATAATGGTCCGGTGCGGTGCATGGGTGGCTCTAATCAATCTCTCACCCCACCTCTCTGGGTGACACTAAAGCGAGGACTGATCTAGAGGTCTTCTTACTGATGTTCTTCGTCGTAATACTCCCTACTAGCTTGGGAGGGGCAAACTCGGTGGTTTCTAATCCAAGGGGAAAAGTAGATACATCCTCATGTACAGGTATATATGAGAAATGATCAAATAAAAATGATAAAAACTATCCGATGTGCCCCATGTGCTTAGGTGGATCATATGGGCAACAAACAATAAGGAAGGGAAAACAATAATCAAGAAAACAATAAAGCAATAAATGATTTCCAGCCAAAAAATATCCAACTCTATCCATCACCAATGAACTCCCGCTAATCACGGATCCTAATACTCCTAAATGACGCGTTTCCAACGGTACCAATATCATCCAAATCAGTGCAGTGGTTGCTGAGATAAGTGAAATCCAGTGTGAGTGTGGCCGCACTGCTGGGTAGGCGTGGGAATTTGGTCTGTGGGGACTGGAAATGTGTCTGAAAAAATAGGGAAAATCATGGAAGGGTAGAAATGGTATATGGGGACGTGTGTGATGTGTTTCGTGAAGTGGGGATGTGCAGGGATGGGGAAATCGCGATATTCAGTTTGTTTGTGCAGTACCGGCTGTGCCCGCCTACAGCGTTCCCAAAGGGAACGTACCATTGGCGGGGAAACATGATGACTGCTGAAGGAAGAAACATACGGTGGATGGGCGGCTACTTGGCGTTCGCGTAGCGAACGTGCCAGCATCATGGGTAAGTGGGCCTCAGAGTGTTCACGATCTCCATGATCGTGACGGGATGTCGTGTGTCGAGTACTTGGGGGAGAGCGTAGTGAAGAGGACCCATAGGGTACAGATTCCAAAGGACGAAATTCATGTCGAGAGTCTTCGACTCGCGACCTCGAGTTCTCACGGCAAGGGCCGTTAGAGGACTCGATATAACCAGACATATAAGACATATTGAGAGTTGTACAATCACACAGGTTCAGTTGAGTCACAGGGAGAGTTGTTACAGAAGACGGTACATGAGACAGTTGTAGAGCAGTTGTTAGTTAGCGGGAACCGCCTTCGGCGGTTTCCATACAAGACGCGTGACTATCTACAAATGGTAAGGTCGCAGGAAATCCCACAAAACACAAATAACCTCGGCCAGCACCATGTCAGGGTTCAGCACCCTGCCTTAGGGTGCCCCGGACTCCCCACCTACTTTACCCCCTTTTATTCTTTGACTGTTGCCTTGTTGTTACCTTTGTGTGTTGTGTACACATGCACGCACGGGATAGCATGGGAACTTTCTGAGCGAGCAGCTCACCCAGAATGTTCCCACAGGTCACAGCCACAGTTCTGGGCGAGCAACTCGCCCAGAACGTTCCCACGCTTACTGGGCACTGCCACCTGGATGTTCCCTCCAGGTCACACTACACAACTCTAGGAGCTGTATAGTTGTGGGCATGTGACCCATTCCTTTATATAGCAACCATGTGGGGAGATGAGACCTTTACCCTTCTTCTCATCTCATGCCCCACATAGTGTGAGGACAGGCCAGATGGGGGTTGAGGTCAGGGAGCCTCCGAGTCCGAGGCCGGGCCCTGACACACCAAAACCCCAATTGGGGAAAGCTTTGCACGAGGGGGGGGGGAAAGGGGTAGAATGGGTAAGGAGGATAGGGTATCGGGATAGAGGACGGAAGGGAGAAAGAGGGGAGGAACGATAGAGAGGAGAAGTCTTTGACCATGCGACAGATATGGTCGTTGGAGACTCCGTATCCATAACAACCGAGGTGGAGTCAAAGTCTGAGGTAGGGACTATGACGGAGGCTCGGAGCAAAGTTACAAGTGGTGTCCGAGTATGAAGTACGGGACAACGGCAGAAGGTCGTAACTTGGCAGGGGGTTGGCGGGAGAGGACGAGAGGGAAGAGAGAGGAGAGAGGGAAGAGGGAAGGAGTGGCAGAAGGGAGAGTTGTCAGGTCCGAAGGTGAGTATAACTTGGCCAGTTGAGTGCAAGGCAAAGTTTTGGAGTAGAGACACATTACCCCAGAGACTTCACACTACAATCCCAATCAACTTCCATAAAGGGAAATTTCCTTTTATAGAAACTTAGTAGACTACTAGAAAACATATTCCCAGTGCAGTCAGACCAGTCCAGAAAGTGCCAACAGTGTCAGCACTTGTCCAAGTGGACCTCATAGTGTGTGGTGATGCAGTCAGAGAAAGTGCTGACACTGAAATAGATGAATGGGGCAAGGGGATCAGGGGATTGTGTTGGGGATGCCAGGTCAGGGTACTGTACCCTGACAACCAGCAACCAGATTCCCACCTGGAAATATCCTGTCAAGGGCCTTGTCTAAACACTGCCTTCCCCAAGCTCCAATCTGGCTGACCTCCAGCTCCAAGGTTGGCAGTAGCTGAATGGAGTCACAGGTCAGAAGATCTGGCTCTTCCATCAACACAGAGAAAGGATAGCATTCAGCATTTTTGGTTTCCTCTACCAACAGATCCATGATGCCATTCTCTTTAAACCATTTGACAGCAATGAGATTAAAAAAGGCATTGCAGCCTTGGGAGTACCCACCATTTTCCCACTGTTTAACAAATGCGTTCATGGCTATCAGTGTTTGAGGTTCTTCCACCCCCTGAAGCCCCTTGCACTACTTCCCCTTCACCTTGCCAGTAGCCTGGGAAAGGGCAACTACAAATGCCCTTATATTGTCCCAGTCTCTTGCATTCTTTTCTGGATCCTCAGAGAACCTAATTGGTGGATTGTGAGTGCCCAGAAATCAAAATCCCAGTCTACACCACTGGTCCAAGCTCCAGCATCCTTGAAACTGTCATATCCATCCACAGCCATCACCTTCCACCACCTCTGGTCCTCCCACATTGCCTCCACTCCTTCACCACCAACCTTGGAGCCTCTGGTTTCCACAATCCCCTCTGGCTACCCTGATGGTCACCACCCCCTCATTTCAATATATTACCTATGCCTCCCCAAGTATGGAACTCCAAAGGTCGCTGGACAGCTCTGTGTACCCCCACTTCCATTAGGCAACTTAGTTGCCTTCCCTGCAAGTCTACCTTCGGGTCAATCCCTCCTGGCCACTTATGGGTTATGGCCCATCACCCCGCTAAACCCCATAGCTTGACTTGTCAGTAATATTCAGTCAGCTAACCTGTAACTCCATTAGCTCCACTCCGCCAGCCCCTGCCATTTACAGGCCTGCCTTCTAGACTCTCCTCGTAACTATATATATACATAACTTGTAGATACATTACACCTCAGTGATAAAATCAATAGTTTCCCCCCTCTTCTAGAGCTCCCTCTCAGTCAGTAAATTAGGGCACAGATGTGTTACTAGGCACAGCGCTCCTGGTATAAGTCGCTGAGGCTGAAGCCCTCCATTACAGGGATGTCATCACTCATCCCAGATCTGGTCTCTGACAATCCCCTGAGGTACTGGCTCACCACTTGGAAAAATTTGTTGTGGAATTTTGGTGGTAATGAGAGTAAGCAGCTGCTGATCTGTCAGGGTACTGCACAAAATTGAATCTCATTCCTAACCTCAGTACTACAACATACCTTTTTGTGGAAGTCTCTCCACAACACATACCAAGAGTCCAGGGTTTAGTGTTGGCTAGCAGCAAGGGCTGGGCAATTGCAACTTCGAAATGGGCAACATCAGTATGATGCATTATTTATCAAAAGCCTTTCTGTCAAAACTGCAACAATCCTGGTGCAGACAGGGCTCAACTAGAGGGGTTCTGAGAGCTCTGGTAGTGAACCGGAGCTTCTCCAGGAAGCCCAGGTCTGCAGGCTGATACAAGAGGCTCTAAGAAGGACACAGCCTCAGTGACTCAGAGGTCTCTGTTATGGCTCAGTTAGTCCTTAATTTCAGATGTCTGAGGTATCTTGTAAGAGGGGGACATGAATCACTCATAGGGGAACTAGTTTCAGAACTGAGGTACAACAAGTCCTAATCTACAGGTATATATACAAGGTGGAGGAGAAGGACTTTAGTCAAGGTCAAGTACCAAAAGGTTCTGAATGATATCTTTAACAGGGAACCGAGGTGTTGGGTTGAGGAGGGTGGAGTAAAAGGCTGGAGGATAAATGGGAATGAGAAATGGGTAAGGGGAAGTCAGCTGACTGAATGGAAAGAAGACATCAGTTGTACTATAAGTGGAAGATGACTAATTAAGATGATGAGAGCAGGGTCACTGGGGGATACAGGTAGCTCCAAAGCCAGAGTTACATATCCAAGGAATGTTGGGTGACTCCACTAAATGAAATAGAGAATGGAAGGTTTTAGAAGTATGTAACAAGATGTCGGAGGTCCAATGGGGGGTCGGAGTGATCCAGAGGACCAAGCTTCCAGGATGGAGGTGGCTAAGGGCGAATGTGCCGAAGTCCAGGCCAGGGCTGAGACAGTTGGGACAGAAGGTGACGTTGGGAAGTGGGGAGGAATCATGTAGGGGATGACGAGGTTGGTAGGAAAGTGTAGTGGGGTGGGAGAGTGCAGGGTTGGGATTCCAGGATATGACACTTTCTTTCTCTATAAAGAATTAGACAATTATTATTATTATTCATACAGAATTGCAGCATTACAGGCTGCATATGCACCTGTAGCAGGTGAGGTAAAGAAGCACAAGGAAGCAGTGGAAGGCAAGGTGGTCAATGATATGGTGATGTCAGAAGAGATATCTGAAGGATTAGAGGAAAAGATGAAATTCATATGCAAACTGACAAAAAGCTTTTTAGATGTTTTGGAGCCAGATGAAAGCATGGGGAGCTTTGTCATCAAGCTTCTTGTGCGAAACAAGGATGTCATTGAAGTCATGGCATCAGAGGAAGAAAAGTTGGTGCCCATATATCAGTACCTTCTCAATGTCCAGGTAAGGACAGGGTGGATGCTGACTCTGTGGTGGTCAGCCACTGGGGCCAAGAAGGGGCCTGAGGGCATTGACCTTGATATCTTCAAGGTGATGTGACCAAAGCTTGGCATGCAAAGGAAGCTCCAGTGGATTGCAGCTGACAAAAGGTCCAATTGGGGGCTGATGGAACTTGTTCATGTTGGCAAGTACTACCACAACTGGAAGGGCTTCATGATAAACCATATCTCAACAAAACTTCTTGGTCATACATGTGCAGTATGTTTCTTGCTATGTGAAATAATTATTTATGACATCACTGATCAATAGTATCTGTGGCCATATATGTCCAAGCACAAATGAACATCTGGGGCTTCTTGTGACAGAGTCTGATGCAGATGATGACTTCAATTATGAGCAATTTGAGGCACTCCTGAAGGAAATGGGTGGGAAGTTGACACACAAATCATGCAAGGTGAGAACCAAAGAGCTTGATGAACTGGCACTGCACTTTGTCAAGACATTCATGAAGTTGAGAGGATGCCCCCACTTTATGCATACTGTACTCACATGACCAACTACTGGCAGGGTCCTGAGCATGACACAAAATTTTAACTGGCAACTTGGTTTGATGTGTGACACCCAACCAGAAACGCCAAGCCCTAAAAGGAAAGCAGTGCCAATTTCAAAACAATGGTCACATTTAGCAATGAGTAAAAATTTTTCATTTCTGAATGTATTTATTACCCAAAAAGGGATACAGTTGCATAGCCACAAGCAACCAAGTGGTTTTGTGTGACATGGACAACTCACCATTTCCCTCATGTGATGCATGACTGGTAGTTGGTTGTGTGAATACAGTACTTCAATGTAGAATTCTGGAAAGGTGTGGAGGGTGCTGAGGTTGTGGCTGGGGTGGTGACAATTATCAAGAAAGGGTCAAAGAAGACACAGCAGACTTATGGAGATGATGTTTTCAAGTTCTCACATCCAGATCACTCATCATGATATATCAACTAACAAACAGCACTATGGAGTGCAGTTGAAAGGTCCTTGAGTAAAACTGAAGCATCCTCCCTGAGTTGGTTCTCCAAAAATGTCACAATTGCTTCCAGTAAATATGAATGAATGGGGGAAGTTATGATAGTGGATCAAAAATGGGGATTTAGCAAGCAACTAGAATGGCTGCTGTGCCACCTTGTGATGGGAATTTTTGTATCCAACTCTAGCCAAATCAAATGATGGAAATATTGAGTAGTGTTGTAGGAGAAATAATGACAGCTGAGACAAATTTAAAAGTTCATTGGAGGGAGGGAGATCAGTTCTTGAGGTTTGCAAAAATTCATAGAAAAACATTCACACATTATCAAGTTATTCATCAAACAGTTGAATGGCTTTAAGGTCAAAGTGCAGGGAAAACCAACATTCATGCAATATCCAGATTGAAAACCCATAACAAATTTGACATATAAAATATATAAAAAGGATCTAGTGATTTGAAAGTTTCAGGCCAATCAGCCTGGTGAAGTAATGGTAGTCATGTTTCTCTGACCTACTGTGGCCACACTATGTCGAAGAACATGTGAGAGTGGCAGTGTTGAGAATATGGGTTGGGAGATTGCAAAACCAGTTTCTGCCCAAAAATGGAAATCACCTGCAAAGCAGAGAAAGGGCAAATGACACCTGGAGCACTCAGGAAATTTCCTCAGCATTGGGAATGAATGGTATGCTGCTGAGTGACAAAATGGTGAGAGGAAAAGCAGAGGTCAGTGTGCGGTGCCAATACAAGTCCACAAATGGGATGCAGAGATCAGCATGGCACCAATATGTCCACAGACAGAGGGTGGTCCATCAGTACTGTCACAAACAAGGACAGCATGATGGCCAGAAAAGGTACAGAGGGGTGTGTTGACCTGACCACAGGGGTGTCAAGGACAACCAGTGTCATATCCATCCACAGCCATCCTCCTTCATTACCTCTGGCCCCTCCAGACTACCTCTGCTCCTTCTTCACTAACCTCAGAGCTCCCATATTCCACAATCACCTTGGCCTCCCTCGATGGTCACCACCCCCTCTTTTCAATATATTACCTACACCTCCCTAAGTACGGAGCCCTGAAGGCTTCTGGACAGCTCCAACGTCTGCTAGCGCACTCCTGCCTCTGCTGGGCAATTCACTTGCTTGCCCTGCAAGTCCACCTTCAGGCCTATTCCTCCTTTCTGTTTCTGGGTTATTGCCTGCCATTCTGCTAACCCCATAACCCAACTTGTTGGTAATATTCAATTGGCTAATGTTTAACTCCATTAGCTCTGCTCCACTCAGTCCCATCATTCATGGGCCCACCCTCGCTGTAACTATATATACTTAACTCGTACATAGGTTACACCTCAGTGATACAATCGACTAGAGTTGATCCCCCTTTAGTTCTCATTGCCAGTAAGTAAATTAGGGCACGGACATGTAACTTGGCACAGCGCTGCTGGCCTGAGTCACTGAGGCCAAAGCCCTCCCCCATGGAGACAAATCCTTCCTCTTGATCTGGTCTCTGACTGTTACGGGGATGGGGGAAATTCCCCATTCCTCGATCCGTTCTTATAGTGGGAAGGCGAGAGTCATGTCTAGTTTGTACCATAACTGGAAGTGTAATCGATGAGTGATCCCAGTCTGACCTGGGAGTGGGCGATCGAATTCCCATCGATCGCGATGGGTGATGTAGTGAGCTATTAAGGGATTGATGATTGATAGTCGGAGATATCAGGACAGATGGGTCAGCCACGGATACTTGGCGCTCCTCAATGGAGCGTACCGTGTGCGAGGTCGCGACTGGTGAGATGGGTGAGAGCTTCGCGTAGTTGCCATCGGGTACTTGGCGTTCGCAGTGCGAACGTACCGGTAGCGGGTTGATATCGTAGGCGTGCAATGAGGGCTGATTATTAGGGCCTTCGGTGACTTGGCGTTCCCAAAGGGAATGTACCGTTGGCGGGGACATATGATGACTGGCAAAGGAAGAAACAGATGGTGGATGGGCGGCTACTTGGCGTTTGCGTAGCGAACGTGCCGGCATCGAGGGTAAGTGGGCCTCATAGTGTTCACGATCACCATGATCGTGATGGGACGTCGTATGTTGAGTACTGGGGGGAGAGCGGAGTGATGAAGACCCATAGGGTACAGGTTCAATAGGACGATACACACATCGAGAGTCTTCGACTCTCGACTTTGAGTTCTCGCGGTGAGGGCCGTTAGAGGACTCGATATAACCAGACTTATAAGACATATTGAGAGTTGTACAGTCACACAGGTTCAGTTGAGTCACAGGGAGGGTTGTTACAGAAGACGGTACACGAGACAGTTGTAGAGCAGTTGTTAGTTAGCAGGAACTGCCTTCGGCGGTTTCCGTACATGACGCGTGACTATCTACAAATGGTAAGGTCGCGGGAAATCCCGCGAAACACAAACAACCTCGGCCAGCACCAAAACCCCAATGGGGAAAGCTTTGCACGAGGGGGGGAAAGGGGTAGAACGGGTAAGGAGGATAGGGTAGCGGGATAGAGGACAGAAAGGAGAAAGAGGGGAGGAGCGATAGAGAGGGGAAGTCTTTGACCATGCGACGGATATGGTCGTTGGAGACTCCGTATCCGTAACACTGACAACCAGAAGCAGGTAGAGGTGAAGAGGATGTGGAGGTGGGCAGAGGTGTGGATGCAGGCAGAGGTGCTGTAAGGAGTGCTAACCCCACCCTTTATTCATTATCTTATTGTATATTTGTCTTGATTTAAACATGTATAAACAATGTATATACAATAACATGGGAATTTGGGAAAAGGAAGAGAACTCCTTTTCCTCCCCATTGTTGATAATTAAAGCTCCATACAGCTCAACTTTATTGACGACCTGAGGATTGAGAACTGGGGTTGGAACCTACACCAACCCCTTACAGGTGCAGATGCAGGCAGAGGTACAGATGTGGGTGGAGGTGCAGATGCAGTGCATGGCTGTGACCACATAGTGGAGTGATGGGTGTGGTTCAGATGGAGACAAGGCAAGGGTAGGCAAGGCTGAGTTGTGCCATAAGCTGACTATTACCGCAGGCAACCCCACATGTTTAATTACATGGCGCCATAATAAATCTGCAGTGCCCGTCGCATCTGTGGTACAGTCATTTGCCTCCGAAATGCACACACCTCTGATGTACACAGTGGCAATTTCTCAACCACAACTGGGCCATTTCACTAGATAATGCCTTCACAGATGCTGAATATTAACTACATTGGCTTCATGGTTATTTCAGGAAACACTGAAATATGGATTTTTAGCAAATTAGCAATTCAACTGATCTGTGCTACAGTGTACTTGAGCCCCACTTGTGGCATTGTTGAAGAAGGACAGGAGAACAAATGCCAATGGGAGTGGATAAATGCTTTTCTGAGCATATTTGATCTGAAATGGGCATACATGCAGCATAAAGTCATGCAGCATATAAAAACAGAAAGTGGGTCATGGAAGCACAATAACAAGAATGTGGGGCCCAATTCAGCGTGTACAGTGGTTCCATATGCCTGATCAATAATTAGCTATGATAGCATGCATCAGCAACTTGGGCAATGGCCTTTCCACACCTGTGCACTTCAGAGGTCATGCCTCAAAATCATCTCCCTTGGAAGATTCATTATAACGCCATGGAAACTCCATATTTTCTTTCCAAAATTTGCCTGCACGGAGATGAGATAATGGTCTTTCCCTGAATAATTTTCATTAATTTTCTATATATACGAAACTCTCATCTAGGCACTAAGCATGAAAGTGTGCATTTCAGAAGCAAATGACTGTAGAGGAGCTGTCATATCCATCCCCGGCCATCGACTTCCGGTTCCTCTGATCCCTCCGTTCTAACTCCGCTCCTCCCTCACCAACCTCGGAGCCCCGTATTCCGCAAACCTCTCGGTACCCCTCGATGGTCACCACCCCCTCATTTCAATTTATTACCTACGCCTCCCTAAGTATGGAGCCCCGAAGACTTCCGGACAGCTCCGACGTCCGCTAGCGCACCCCTGCCTCCGCTGGGCAATACACTCGCCTGCCCTGCAGAGCCCACCTTTGGGCCTATCCCTCCTTTCCGTTTCTGGGTTATCGCCTGCCTTTCCGCTAACCCCGCGAACCGACTCATCGGTAATATTCAGTCGGCTAATGGTTAAACCCCGTTAGCTCCGCTCCGTTCGGCTCCGCCAATTGCGGAACCGTCTCCGCTGTAACCATATATATATCCCACTTGTACATAGGTTACGCCCCAGTAGTAAAATCAACTAGAGTTACCCCCCTAGGTTCTAATTGCCAGTCAGTAAGTTAGGGCACGGACGTGTCACTAGGCACAGTGCTCTTGGCAGAAGTCGCTGAGGCCGAAGCCCTCCGTTACGGAGACATTCCTTCGTCTCGAATCTGGTCTCTGACAGGAGCATGGGATAAAATGCCCATATATCGTGAACTTGTCTACCACTGCCAAGATGGCATCTGGCTGCATGGTCCCTTTAGGGGGGGGTAGTCCCATCACGAAATCCAAAGTTATTGTGTGGTATGGCAAGTCTGGGACAGGCAAGGGCTTCAGCAGACCCGGCATTTTGCCTCTGTCATGCTTGATCTTCTGGCAGATGTTGCAAGTTCCCACATACTGTCGAGTGTCCTTTCCAAGGTCCTTCCAATAGCACTTAGATTTTAGGTGCTTGAGCGTCCTTTCTATGCCCATGTGAGCAGCCTCATGAGGAGTGTCATGAATTTCCTTGAGGATCATGGTCCTCAGACTTCTCAGGACACACAGGCGTCGGTTGGTTTGCAGGTCGTCCCAAAGTAGCAACCCTTCCTCCGACACTTGGTAGGCACCCCCTGCTACACCACCATTAAGGGTTTCGCAGTATATGTCCCTGAATTCCTCGTCCATGGAGTAGGCCTGACGGATTCCTCAGCTATCCTTGGGGCTAGACCCAACCATAGACTTGTCATGCTCCTTTCCTCTTGA